AAGTCTGATTCCCTGTAAGGACTTCTCTGTTGACATCCACCCCTTGGCGCTCATATGACCTAATGCAGTTGCGAGCACCGTAAGGTAAACCCTCTACTAAGTGGGTGGTTGGTGGGTGCTCTGGTGTGGTTTGCTTCTTCTTTCCTGTCAAAGATCTATCGTCCTTATCTCCCCTTTTTCTTTTTTATGTTTGTTACTCTCTTGTAACACCTCTAATCTTCTGGTGCTCATATGACCTTATGCAGTTGCGAGCGCCGTAAAACCTGTACTAAAACTTAACTTTTGTTGGCAACTCTAGAGGTGAAACACCGAACCAATGTGCCAGAATCTGGACAATAAAGATGTATCTTATCCTATCTTATCTTATCTTATCTTATCTTATCCTATCTTTTCCTATCTTATCTTTTTAAAATCTATCTTATCTATATATAATGTTTTCCGTCCCTGTTGTTTTATACAAGAACAATTCTGAAATTCTGCAAACTGAGCCCCAAAATGTGAAATTATTCGATTCTGTTAATTTTAACAAAGAATGATAAAGGAAAATAGTCAGAAATTATGCCAAAAAAATGATCAAATTTGGCTAAATTATGCGGGGTGCATAAAACCACGGGGACACTGTTTTGCTATTCTGACTCTGACAAGGTTGTTTTTTTCCCCTTATTGTTGTCTTGTTTTTACAGCGCTATCGGACCTGTGGGGGCAACATTCCATCGACCGGAGGAGATCTTCTATAAGTAGGTCACTGTTTTGTTTTGTTTTGTCTCGAGTGGGTGGTTGGAGGGTGTCACTGGTAGGTCCTACTTCTTTACTTTCCCTCTGTTGTTTCTGTCTGTGTGGGTGTCACTGGTAGGTCGTCCAACTTCTTTTCTTTCCATCTGTTGTTTCTGTCTGTGTGTGTGGTTGGTTGGAGGGTGTCACTGATAGGTCAAGGACCCTTATTGTCTCCATGTGCTTTTTTTTTACTCAAAAAAAACAACAACAACCAAACAATAAACAAGCAAACAAGCCAGCAAACAAACAAACTAACAAACAAACGAACGTCTATGTAGGAGGTAAGTTTCTATAGCTTATTATCCAATTCCTTTGACTTATCTGTGGGTGGTTGGCGGGTGCTCTGGTGTCGTTTACTACTTCTTTCCTATCAAACACCATTCACATCATCATTGATTTACAGCAGCGAAAATACTGGAGACTTGTATATTAGATGTGTTCTATTTAATGAAAATATCATCTTTGTCATTATCATTATGTCATTATTATTGTTTTTATTATTATTGTTATTATGATTATTAAT